GATCTCAGCTCACTGCAACCTCCGCCTCTGGGTTCAAGCAATTCTCTGCCTCAGTCTCCTGAGTAGCTGGGATTACAGGCACCCACTGCCACTCCTGGCTATTTTTTTTTGTATCTTTAGTAGAGATGGGGTTTCACCATATTAGCCAGGCTGGCCTTGAACTCCTGACCTTGTGATCCACCCGCCTCAGCCAGCCTCCCAAAGTGCTGGGATTACAGGTGTAAGCCACCGCGCCTGGATGAGATATTCTTTTTTTTTTTTTTTGAGATGGAGTCTCTCTCTGTCGCCCAGGCTGGAGTGCAGTGGCATGATCTCGGCTCACTGCAAGCTCTACCTCCTGGGTTCATGCCATTCTCCTGCCTCAGCCTCCTGAGTAGCTGGGACTACAGGCACCCGCCACCACGCCTGGCTAATTTTTTGTATTTTCAATAGAGACGGGGTTTCACCACGGTAGCCAGGATGGTCTCGATCTCCTGACCTCATGATCCACCCACCTTGGCCTCCCAAAGTTCTGGGATTACAGGTGTGAGTCACTGTGCCCGGTCAATATTCTTTAATCTAGAAAGCAAATACTAGTTTGTACGAAGTACTTAGCAAAAAACAAACAAAAAAAACCCAAAAAACCCCCCCCAAAATAGCTCATTTTCTACAAATGTATTTTATGTTTTCTGTATACTTGTCGTTATTTTACTGTGCTTTTATTTTCACTCTTAGAAACAGGCAGCCAATATATAGAGCAACCTTCCTCAAACTTTTAATGTTAATCTCATGATCAAAGTAGAAAATTTCCCCTCTACCAGCCCTCCTCTTCCAATCGAAGTTACACACAAAGAGCTTTGCCTAAAAAGGGAAGTTACTTGCTCTATAGAGAGTTACAGTTAAAATCTTTATAAGGGTCTTTTAAGTTGTTTTATTCCAGTGAATCTTTTTTTTTTTTTTTTTGATACAGGGTCTCACTCTGTCACCCAGGCTGGAGTGCAGTAGTGCAGTGGTGCGATCATGGCTCAGTGCAACCTCCACCTCCCAGGCTCAAGTGATCCTCACACCTCAGGCTCCAGAGCAGCTAGGACAACAGCTGCATGCCACCACACCCAGCTAATTTTTGTATGTTTTGTATAGACAGGGTTTCACTATGTTGCCCAGGCTGTTCTCGAACTCCTGAGCTCAAGTGATCTGCCCACTTCAGCCTCTCAAAGTGCTGAGATTACCAGTTAGGAGCCACCACACCCGACTCCAGTGATTTTTTAAATTATTAAATGAATAAACAATTTCCAACCTCTGGGAAGAAAAGATAAATTCACAGAGTCTGGGCTTTCTGTTTGAAGTTGAGGCTGTTCGACGTCAGCAGTGGGGGGAAATTCCAGACGGTGGCTGCTCCTGCCCGGTCTCAGCCAGGGCCCCTTCTTCGTTCCTCAGGCTCTGCTCCTGGGACTCCTCCTGGACTCCCCGCAGCCCCTCCGCCCTGGTCTCCTCATCCAATCAATCACCAGGTCCTGTTGACTCGACTTTTCCTTTCCTTTCTGGTTGGCCAGCCCTTCTATCTGTAGGACACGTGATGACTGTTTCTCCAGGACCTGTTCTCTAAAGGGAGTGACCTGTATTCTGAAGATATTTGTGGAAATGTCCCCATACAGGAGACGTCAGTTTTGGCCGTTTGTCTACCTACTCTTTGGTTTGCTATGTGGCCCTGAGAAAGTAATAAAGTCTTACACGAGATGCTCTGTATATTAGTTTGCTGTTACCTCATAATAATCTACCTCCAAATTCAGTGACTAATGCACCAGTTGATTATTTAGCACATGTCTGAGGGGTGGCTGAATATGACTGACCTAAGCTAGCCCAGGCTAGGGGACTCTGTGGACTTCCTCGTGTGTCCGCAGGTGGGCTGGGGAGCTTGGGCTGTGCTCAGCTGCGGCAGCTCTGCTCCAGTTTTCCTGTCCTCCTTGGACGGCGGCCCAGCCCCACCAGTTCTCAGGGTGATGCTGACTCTGCTTCTGTTCAGCTGTTGTCTCTTGGTGAAGTTACCATCATCGCTTGCCTGGAATGCCACACCCAGTCCCCACTGCTCCCAAAAGCTGGCCTCCCTGCATCTCTCCCAGTGGATCCCCTCAAAATCAGACAACGTGACCTTTTAAAAAAATACAAACCTCGGCGGGGGGGTGGGGGGGGGGGGGGTAGCTCACGCCTGTAATGCCAGCACTTTGGGAGGCCAAGGCAGGTGGATCATCTGGGGTCAGGAGTTCAAGACCAGCCTGGCCAACATGGCAAAACCCTGTGTCTACTAAAAAATATAACAATTAGCTGGGTGTGGTGGTGCACACCTGTAGTCCCACCTCCTCAGGCGCTAAGGCAGGAGAATTGCTTGAACCTGGGAGGCAGAGGTTGTAGTGAGCTGAGATTGCACCACTGCACTCCAGGCTGGGCAACAGAGCGAGACTCCATCTCAACAAAACAAAACAAAAACCTCACCTTGCTTAAAAACTCCTGAGTTTCTCCATCCTTAGGCTGAGGCTCCAAGCTGCCCCACGATGTGGAAAGAGCCCTCTTTCTTGCCTGCCGCCATCCCAGACTCCCTTCAGTTCTTTGCATGTGCCGTTCCTCCTGCCTGGAGAGCTCCTCTCCCCAGCTTCACACAGCCAATCCTCATCATTACTTTGCAAGCGTAAGTATCCCCTCCCCAGGGAGCCCTTCCCTGGCCCATCCCATCAGCTCTGGCAGCACTCTTATTTCCCCCTTTGTAACATTCATAAGACTTGTCGTTTTCTTCTTGGATTTGCCTGCTAGACACAGGCTCTGTGAAGGTACGTCTGTCTTGTTCACTGGTTGCTCCCTGGCACCTGGCACTCGGTGGCCTTAGTCAATACTGAGTAAACAAATTAATGAGGGAAAGGGGTTTAGGGAAAAGGCCCTGACTCTCTACATGATCTGCAGATGTTCAGGCTCTTCGTTTTAACACCTGAAGATCTGAGCGTTGGCCTAGGTGAGCTCTGGTGTTTGCCATCTTTGTAGGCTTCACCCTCTGCCTGTCCCTTTTGCTCCTGGATGACGGTGGGTTGTAGGGCAGGGCTTGAGATAATGGGTGAGGCTGTGGATGAGGGGAGTTAGTAGCTAGTTACTTAGCAGCAGGACGGAGTATACCTAAAGCAATCTAGCCAATTCTTTCAGTTCCAAAATCCAGATTCCAACAGCCATCAGAACACAGTCCTGTACTTGGCTGTGCAAGACTTCCCAGCCATGAGGTCATGCCAGCCAGCCCAGCCCAGAGCCATCTCTGAATGTCTAGGAGATAGCCTTGCTCGGCCAATGAGTTTTGCCTGGGAAGTTAACTAATGACAGTATTTCTCATTTGCCAAATGTTAGCGCTGCAAAGTGATCTCCAGACCCCAGCCTGGATCCTATCTTCAGAGCAGGCACAAGTTCTAGAGAGTTCTGTGAGGCTGGCAGGCCATGGATGTTCGAGCTGCCCACAGTCCCCTCAGTTGGTGCATAGTCAAGGAGGCGGAATGCTTCCCTAGAGAAACACCAGGGATCATCCCCACGGGAATGCCGCTTTATTCAAAGCTCTAGCATCAATACTGGGTCATCTGAGTTGGGGAGTACCCAGTGCCAGGCTCTGCCTGCCAGATATACACCTGAGATGTGGAGGACCAAAGCCTGTTTGTGGCATTTCCTGCCACAGAATTCGGATTTATATCTTTCTGCAAATTCCAAACGCATAGTTAATTTTACAAAATTAAGTTTGCATTAGCAAGGCTTTGGGCATGTTCAAACCCATTCATGCAGTTTAATGAACACAAAAGCAACCTGCTGTTACAGCCTGCAGCCCACGTTAAGTTTGGGTGGACTGCCTCATTGCTTAAAACCTGGGGGCGTGGGAGAAGTCTACTATGGAGCTGTTATCTTGCTAGCAATTTGATACCTTTAGCACGGAGGTTCAAATCCGGACTTCGGTTCCAAGTAGCAGTTGCTTAAATTAAGTATAAATCGGCAGTGCTGTCGTTAGTACCGTGGTTGGAGGCATTCACTGCTGAGTGACCACGAACTCCACTGATGCAGGGTGGGAAACCTGAGCCAGAGCCACACACAGGGCTGGGCTGGGCGGCTCTGCCCCGTGACAGTCAGCTGAAGGGAGTGATCACTCTTGCCACGTCACCTCCGTTCACTGTCCACCGAAGGGCTGTCCCCCAATTAAGGGCTTTGCATGTGCTCTAACACTGCAGCTCCCAGGCAGGAACTGGTTAGAGGGTAAGAGATCTGGGACTTGCTAAGAGCTTCATTATTTTCACAGATGCTCAAGACTTATCCTGAAATTGGCAGGGCACGGTGGCTCACGTCTGTAGTCCCAGCACTTTGAGGGGATCATGAGGTCAGGAGTTTAAGACCAGCCTGGCCAACATAGTGAAACCCTATCTCTACTAAAAATACAAAAATTAGCTGGGCGTGGTAGCAGGCCCCTGTAATCCCAACTACTCAGGAGGCTGAGGCAGGAGAATGGCTTGAACCCAGGAAGCAGAGGTTACAGTGAGCCAAGATCGCACCACTGCACTCCAGCCTGGGCGACAGAGCGAGACTCCGTCTCAATAATAATAAAAAAAAGACTTTATCCTGAAATCAAAAGTTGTACTGCCAAATAGAATGGCTACATGTTACATCTATTTGAATGCATCACTGCAGCAAATCTATGCTCTCTGGAAGACAACAGAAGACATGAGTTCTCACGTGAGGGTGAGAAGAACGTGGGCTCAGACTGCGCGTGCCCACTCCCATGACTGTGAGAGTTAAAATGAGGGGGTGACAGTGCTGCAGCTATTCCAGGACTGGTGCTATTTATATGAGCCTGTTCCAAACCTTAACACACAGATACCAAATCCACTCAGCACTGTATGCAAAGGGAAACAAGAAACCACTCTGACAGGTCTGGTCCCTCGTAAACTCCCCAGATGACAAGCAAATTATTTAATACTTTCTTTCTATGTTTGGAATGAATCTGTTTCCAAGAATAAAAGCATACAAACAATATCTTTATTACCTGTAATATGCTTAAAGAGCAGGGGTCCCCAACGGGTTAAACATGAGAAACACTGGCAGAGCTTTAGAAAGAGAGGAAAATGTGCCTCACCCCTCACTTACTGAGTCAGAATCTGCAGAGAGCGAAGTGCTGAGACGTCTTTTTAAAAAGCGCTCCAACTCTCCAGGTGCTTCTGTCCACCAGCCAGATGTGGGCACCAGTGCTGCGTAGCATGTTCCCGGCTTCAGGGTATGGGGGTTGTCCTGGGCCTGGATCAGGCTGGGGGCTCTCGTTCACCAGGTGTTGGGAGGGGCTGGAGCCTGCATTTCCAGCAAGCTCCCAGGTGGGGCTAAGGTTGCTGATGCGCAGTGCGCCATCTCTGGGCGTGTACCTACACACCCGTCACCTTTGTCGTACTGGTTCAGGTATATGTTACAGGGTGCACCGTGTACCCTCGCAGCTCTGCCCTACTCCACACTGCCCCCAGTCTCAAGGGGGCTTGGACTTGCCTTCACCAAGGCACTTCTTTTCTCAGGGTCGAACCCTCCCCTGAGGGCCCCCAACAGCCCTCTCCAGGCCTTCTGTCGGTAGAAAATGAAAATGCATTAATCGGGAGGGGTTTATCTGGTGTGAAAGGCTCAGGGAGATAATTCTTTTTATTGTCAAGGACCAAGAAACAACATGTAGAAATGCTATACACAATGGCCATGAGCTACGAGATAGGAGTGGGGTGGAGGGGAGACGCAGTAACATACAGCACTATTCTGAACAAACTCCAGCTCTCCATTCTAACACGTGAACCAAGGAGACACAGCCATCCTTTTTCACTAAGGCTGCAACAGAACGCAAACGTGACTTGGTTTATCAGCTCCCACAGGGCAGGCAGCACAAAAGGCTATTGTAAGCTGGTTTTGGGAGCCCCCATCTCAAACAGAGAGTGGATGCTGAAGGTGGTCCCTGGCCGCCGCTGGTGGCTGGTCCCCGGCTTGCTAGGTCCTGGGCATGTCTCGATTCTCAATGATCAGCTTGTCAGTTGAATACAGTTGGCCAATGTGGACCTGAAGGCAAAGAAAGGACACAGGTCAGGAACTGTGGCCCTCTAGCCCCTGGGAAAGGTCAGAAGGAACATTTCCTAACATTTCGAATACTAATGTTGGCCATCCCAGGGCTGCTCCCTTCTGGCAACTGCACTGTGGGGCAAAGCCAGTCATTAGAGCCGCTTGGCTAGCTCCTTGCACCATCCAACGCCCACTTCCCTCACCGTGAGAAGTTACAGAGATCCACACACCCATTCCTTCTCTCTGAAACAGCATGGGGGGCTGTGCTGAGCTGGGTGAGGCCTGCCTGCTGCTGGCATAGCTGTCAGATGTGTGCCCAGTACCTCCTCTCCTAAGACGGTTTCCTTCCCTTTGAACTGCTTCTTGCATAGAGAAAGGGTTTTAGAACAATGTAGAAATGGGTGCCGACTATGCTGGGGTAGAAAAAGCACTGCATTCAGGGTAATGCTAACACTATTCCGTGTCCCATCCCGGGTGGGGTTGAGGGCAGCTGTCTGAGTGCCTGTACCTCCTGCCTTCCATCTTTCCTGCCCCCTTCTTTTTAAAGTGTCCTTTTTATTAAGTGTCAATGCCCAATGTTTCCACTGTCCCAGGTGGATGCTGGAGTCATCATCTGGGGCTAGAGAAGGTCTTTCCTTGGGAACAAAGGGTCTTGCCACAATTTTTCTGTAAAAGCATTTCCTGAGTGATACATTTTTAAGGATAAGTGGAACTGGTGAAGAAAGGGCTGACCATTAGCAACTCTATCTGGATTTCAGACCAGTTGGTCACTATCTATGGGAAATTTGAGGCGAGTAACTGCTGTTTAAGCAAATGATAGTAAACTCCTAAAGGCCACAGCTACCACCCAGAGCAGCCAGGGGTCAACATCCTCATATGGTTTTCCTCCCCGACCTTAGTGCTCTGTTTTGAAGTGAAGGCCCTGGACAGAAGGCGATCATGTCATTACTACAGCACGTGTTAAAGAGCAGTACTCTGTCGCCAAGGACAGCCCCGTGGTCCACCTGAGGTGTCCTGTTTTCCATGCCATTTGCTCGGTCTTCAGTCTGCCCTTGCACAGAGGTATCCTGAAGGTCCGTGGCACGGATAATAACTGCTAAGTGTTGTGGTGCAAGAGAAAGCGAAGAAAGAGGCAAGAGCAGCGCGTCATCTAAGAAGAACGAAAAGTAGACAGTGGAGATTTGGGGGATGGGGGAGATCTTGCAGGTATTTTTAAATGCAAGTGAATGTCCTAATTAAAAACCAAAAGAGATAGGTAGGAGTTATGGGAAGGTGGTGTAGAGAACGAGCGCTCCAGCACAACTCCTAACAAGTCACAGTGATGAGCTTGGCTACTGTGTCCTCAGTCCTCCCTTCCTCTCACTAATATAGAGAAGACTTTGGATGCAAGTGGATGGGGGCGGGGTCTGGGGTGCTGCATTTCTCACAACCTGCAGGTAATGCTGATGCTGCTGGTCCATGGGCCACACTTTAGGTGGCAAGGTCGGAAATCATCTTGAGGGCTGTGAGGAGCCGCACTGGGTTTCTTGGGGGCTACAGTACAGTCATGATGAATGCAGGGACTTTCTGAGTTTCCCAGCTGGACAACCTGAAATAGCTACTGGGTGAGCTGAAGCCATCTATACCCTACTACAGAGAAGAGGAGGATCGGCACTGTCCTCCACCCTGAATAGTACATGGTTTTGTTTTCATATATTAACCTCAACAGATAGATGCACCCACTATCAAACGATACTGAGAACAGAAAGGCTAGAATACCAATGATCCTTAAAAAAAAGGGAACCATTACTTTTTGGATAATTAAAACTAGGCTAATACAAACAATTTTGTATAACAGCTTGGATGGTTCAGTTACCTGGGAGCTTGTTCTGTATTTAATTGATCTCAGGGGATTCACCAGGAACCCATCCTAGAAGTATCCACAATCGGACATTCCATGAGTACTTGACAGAGTTTACCATCATCTTCTCAAGGCTTTAGTGGCAGGCAGGGGTTATGGAATGGCATAAGAAGAAACCCGTTCAAAACTGCAGTGGGCTGGCTTGGGAAGCTGTGAGTTCTCTGTCCCCATGAGGAGCAGAAAGTGAGGATGGAGAAGGAAGGTATATGCTAGACCAGGGCTGAACCAGATGGATTCCTTCCGACTCTCAGCTTCTGTGATTACAGGCACTGTCCATGGCTCCAGGATCCATCTGGGACGCATGGTCTCTGAATGGCCCAGAGTTGATCTACATGTTCTACTTCTGGCACTCTGGAAGGAAAGGCGGCACCCTGGAAAGGCCCTGGGATGAGGGGGAGGGGGGCAGCAGGAAGAGGACAGCTGGGCTGCAGCTGGGATGGCTCCGCCACTTGCCATGTGAGACTCTCCACTTCCTCTAGACTCAGTTCCTCGCCTGTGGGATGAGGTCTGGAAACTTCTAGGTGATCTTTACAGTCCTTTGCAGCTCCAGCAGTCTTTGGGCCCTCAATAAAGTTGGCCAGTGTCAAGAAAAAGATGTGTGAGGTTCCCAACCAGTACAGCACCTACATGGCATGGGAGTCCCTAGGGCAGCTGGTGGGAATCTGGCCAAGGGAGAGTCGTGGCAGACATGGAGGGGAGAAACGTGTTGCAGCAGCAGGAGGGGTGACCGGCTTCCCACCCCCTCCTGAAGGGAGGGCGCACCTCTGTCCACCCGTCCACTGCCTGCAGCCCGGGCGGCAAGCTCGCGAAGCCTGCCCTCCTCTTTGCAGCCACCTGGACCATGTGTGTGGTCTGTGTGTGTGGGCCCTATGAGGTCACGTGCTCTAGTTCATGTCTGTCTTCCCTTCTCCAGCCCCCTGAGAGCCCCTCAAGGGCGGGACTGGTGAACGCTGCTTTCTGTGTCCCTGGGCCCCACACAGTCCTAGGAGACAACACTGCTCAGCAGATCTGTGACGAGCGAGCGAGAGAAGGAATCTGAGCCCAGTGCACTCAGAGCAAATGGCTCTGCCCCGAAGATGGACAGGCAGGCAGGGCTCTTTCCGACAAGTGAAAGGCACACACAGCACACAATGCACAGGTGTTCAAAGACCCAGAAAACCCGGAGGAGCTGGAAGGGCAGCCCCAGCCCTGAGTCATTCTGCAGACAAGCAGTGAGCACCTCCTGTCCCAGGCACCTTGTGCGGGTGAGACTTTCAGATGTGATTAACGTCTGCAGAAATCTCTGAGTCCAGGAAGGGAAAACAGACAAGAATTGAGATAAACGACCTAGCATCTGGAATGTACTGGCACAGGAGGGCACACAGGACTAGAGGGATCTAGAAGATGTGACTCAGCCTGAGGGAGTCAGGAAAGACTTCTCAGAGGAGACAGCCTCAGGGGAGGAGGAGCTCAGAGGCCAGAGGCTGGAGCTGCGGCAGGGGTGAGAAGCCCACAACACGACTGGATGTGGAGACCGTCAGAGACAGACATAGACTAAGTGTGGATACGGAAGGGTGAGGGTGAGGATGCGGGTGGAGACGGTAGAGAAGAGAGAATAAAAGGAAAGTGGGGTAGGGCCAGAACACAGATGCCATGCTCCACTTGGAGGGAATGGAAAGCTGGTAGAATGTTAAAAATGGAGGACCAGAGCATCCAGACCTGTGGTTAAAAAGATCACCTTGTTTTAGGGTCAAGGCAAGGAAGAGGTGGAGAGTTGTGGCAGGGGACCCGGTTAAGGGACCAGTGAGAGTGCAGGTGAGGCTGGGCGCGGTGGCTTACGCCTGTAATCCCAGCACTTTGGGAGGTCGAGGTGGGTGGATCATGGGGTCACAGGTCCGAGATCAGCCTGACCAACATGGTGAAGCCCCGTCTCTATTAAAAATATATAGGGCGAGGTTGCGGGCGCCTATAATCCCAGCTATTCAGGAGGCTGAGGCAGAAGAATGACGTGAACCCGGGAGGCGGAGGTTGCAGTGAGCCGAGATGGTGTCACTGCACTGTGGCCTGGGTGACAGAGCGAGACTCTGTCTCGAAAAAAAAACAAAACAAAAAAAAAATGGAAAAAGAGTGTAGGTGAGAGGTGACCCAGCTTGGAAGGAGTGGCAGAAGTTATAGAGGAGCAGCCAGAGGAATGGGTGCTGCACTGAAGGGGGACCCACCCTTGCAAGTCCAAGACTGCTGCATGTGGATGCTGTAAGAATCAGTGCCCTCAGCTTTTGGTGAAGAATGAAGCCCAGAAGAATCAATCCATATAGAAGCAAAGACATGAACCCCAGATCTTCTGATCTCTGTCCAGTGCTTTCTCCAAAATGCTGCTCCTCTAACAGGTCCCAACCATTTCTTCCTTTCTTTTCTCTCTCTCTCTCTCTCTTTTTTTTAGAGACAGGTTCTCACTATATTGCCCAGGTTGGTCTTGAACTCCTGGGTTTGAGTGATCCTCCTGCCTCAGCCTCCTGAGTAGCTGGGATTACAGGCATGTGCCACCATGCCTGGCTAATCAATGATTTCTTCATAACGCAAATTACACATCACTATAATTATAAGCCTATGTTATGAAAATTTGAGATAACCACATGAGAGAACTGTGGCCTGCCCAGCATCCATCTCTCCTTTTTCCTTACAGGGTCAGTGCACATCTAGAAGTGTACACTCTCCAGACTCCTGTGCAGCTAGATGTGGCCAATGAGGTGTCAGCTGTCATCAAGGCAGGAGCATCTAGGAAAGTTCTTTAAAATGGGCCGCCTCAGACTGGGGGCACTCCACTGCCTGCCTGCCCCCTCTTTGTCTCCGTTCTGCCTGGAATACGAACTTGATAGCTGGAACACCAGCAGACATCTAGCACCGTAAGGTAAGTTTGTTATGGGAGCTGCACGCTAAGGCTGGGGTGTAGAAAGGAGGTGTCTGAGTGCTTGATGACCATGGAGACACCATGCCAGCTCTGGACACCTTATTGCCAGTTTTCTTTTATGTGCGAGAAAAATAAACCTCCATCTTTTAAAAGCTCCTGTGACTTGGGTTTCTTGCTACATACAGCTAAACCAATCTTTACTGACTTGAATGC